CACACTGCCATATAATCCAGTTCAGTGTGGATTTCATACAGCTGTGTGGAAGGGGCCAAAGTGGTGCCAAACTTTGAATTCAAACTGGACCTTGAGCCCCTGCCTTTCATAAAGGCCTAGCACAGGGAAGAAAGTCGGCAACACGACGCCCCCTTTCTACTCAAGCTGTGCAAAAAGGCGGCCAAAGTTGCCTAGAAAGGAAGGGGCCGAAGGCGAGAGGAAGGCCAGGGCTCTGCCTCTCCCAAGATGGCGCCCACTGCTCGCAGAGGGGAGGGGCGTGGCCAAGCGCGCGCTCCTGGGCGGGGGGAGGGCAGGAGGGGGCGGGGCTCTGCCTGCCTGCCGGGAGCCCGCGTCTGATGGTGGGCCGGCGCTGCCTCCGTCTGCTCTCGCTGCCTCTGAAGCCGGCGCCGCAGTTGAGGGACGCCTCGCCGCCGCAGAAGAGCCTCTGCGCCATGGAGGACGAGGAGGAGGACCTGCCCCGAGAGAGGTGAGCAGCCGGGGACAGGCAGCCCGTGACTGGATGCCTCCCTCTCTGCGTCCTGAGGGATATTCAGGAAAACGAAAGGGAAACTGCCCCCTCCTCCCGCCTCCCTTCCTCCTCACTATCCCACAGGAAACATGTCTGTTGTAGTTTGAAGCCTTCTCTGCGAAGGTTCCTCTCGCATTGAGGCCGGGGCAGTTCAAGTGGGGTCAAGATGCACCCTCGGGCCCCCTTCCACCCTGCCCTCTATCCCACACGATCTACACATCCCAGATTATCTGGCAGTGGGGACTCATTATAATCCAGTTCAAAGCTGATCACCTGGGATCAGAGACTGGGATCAGAGCCTGAGGGCCCTTCTCTACTGCAAAATTAAAATCCAGATGATCTCCTTTGAACCGGATTATATGGTAGTGTGGGGTTTTGTTTTTTTTTGGTCCTGTCAGGAGCAACTTGAGAAACTGCAAGTCGCTTCTGGTGTGAGAGAATTGGCCGTCTGCAAGGACGTTGCCCAGGGGATGCCCAGATGATTTTGATGTTTTTATCATCCTTGTGGGAGGCTTCTCTCATGTCCCCGCATGAGGAGCTGGAGCTGATAGAGGGAGCTCATCCGCCTCTCCCCGGATTTGAAACTGTGACCTGTCGGTCTTCAGTCCTGCCGGCACAGGGGTTTAACCCACTGCGCCACCAGGGGCTCCTTCTAAGCATAGACCATGGAGGACAAAGCAGAGCCTTCTCCGCTGTGGCTCCCCCTCTTTGGAACTCACTGCCTGGTGAGATTAGGCAAGCCCCCTCCTTAGCAGACTTCAAGGAAAATATGAAAACCTGGCTTTTCCGATGTGCCTTTAATAATAATAATAATAATAAGACTACTGCAACGCTCTCTACGTGGGGTTGCCTTTGAAGACTGCTCGGAAGCTTCAAATGGTCCAACATTCGGCAGCCAGGTTGCTAACAGAAGCGGCACTCAGGGAGCATACGACCCCTCTGTTGCACCAGCTCCAGTTGCTGCCAGTTTGCTACCGGGCACAATTCAAAGTGCTGGCATTAGCCTATAAAGCCCTAAACGGTTCTGGCCCTACTTACCTCTCCGAACGCATCTCCTCCTATGAACCAACTAGGACACTAAGATCATCTGGGGAGGCCCTGCTCTCTGTCCCGCCTGCATCACAGGCTCGCTTGGCGGGAATGAGAGACAGGGCCTTCTCAGTGGTGGCCCCTCGGCTGTGGAACGCCCTGCCTGCAGATATCAGATCACCCCCCTCCCTGCTGGCGTTTCGTAGGAAAGTGAAGATCTGGCTGTTCGAACAAGCATTTGGTTAAACAGTGTAATTGAACATAGGAATATGGAATAGTGGATGATGAGACTGGATTCTGATTTTACTGTTGAGGCGCTAATGATTGTTATACAGATGTTTAATGGTTTATGTTATAATTGTTTTTAATTCCCCTATACTTGTCTCGTGATGTTTTGTATTGATGTTTTTCACCGCTTTGAGTTGCCTGAGGGCTGAGAAAAGCGGTATATAAATAAATAAATAAATAAATAAATAAACAAACTTTATTTATGTGGACAATTTCAACAGAAAGGAGGAAACCATGAAAATGAACAAAATCTGGCTACCAGTATTTAAAAACTCTAAAATTACAACAGCAAAACAACAGAGGGGAAACAATCAGGGACATCTAACCACTTCTCAACAAAAGATTGCCCCAGGCACTGTCAGGCCATCAAATGCTGATCAAGGTGGTCAGTTGAAACTTTCACACCTAGCTCCAACAGACAAGAGTTCTTTGTCCCACCCTTGTAATTCCACAGATATATAAACCCTTTTTCCTAGTTCCAACAGACCCCACTACCTCGGAGGATGCTTGCCATAGATGCAGGTGAGACGTCAGGAGAGAATGCCTCTAGAACATGGCCATATAGCCTGAAAAAACCTACAACAACCCAACATTATTGGTTTATGCCAGAGTCTTTGCAATTCGATCTTTAAATGCTCATATTGTGTCATCTTTTCCAGATATTATTATTATTATTATTATTATTATTATTATTATTATTATTACTATTATTATTATTATTATTATCTTGTGGATGATCTCTTTTGATAATCTGGATTAAATGTGGCCTGAGGAAGATCTTGGAGTCTTTGTGAACATGAGCCAACAGTATGATGCAGCAGCATAAAAAGCCAGTGGAGTGGGATTTTGGGCTGCACCCAAAGGAGTCTAGTGTCTACATTAGTGATTCTCAACTTGTGGGTCCCCAGATGTTTTGGCCTTCAACTCTCAGAAATCCAAACAGCTGGTAAACTGGCTGGGATTTCTGGGTGTTGTCGGCCAAAACACCTGCGGACCCACAAGTTGAGAATCACTGGTCTAGATCAAGGGAAGCCATGGTGCCCCTCTACTCAGCTTTGCTTAGACGTCATCTGGAATCACACTGTGACCAATTCTGGTCATCACAGTTCAAAAGAGATATTGACAAGCTGGAAGGTGTCCAGAGGAGGGTGACTAAAATCACCAGAGGTCTGGAGAACATGAATCCCTATGAGGAGTGGCTTAAAGAGCTGGGCATGTTTAGCCTGAAGAAGAGAAGGTTGAGAGGAGACACGATAGCCATGTATAAATATACAAAAGGATGTCATAAGGATGAGGGAGTAGGTTTGTTTTCTGCTGCTCTTGAAAATAGGACTCCGAGCAGTGGGTCCAAATAACAGGAAAGGAGATTCCACCTCAACATTAGGAAGAACTTCCTGACTGTAAGAGCCGTTCAGCAGTGGAACTCTCTGCCCTGGAGTGTGGTGGAGGCTCCTTCTTTGGAGGCTTTTAAACAGAGGCTAGATGGCCATCTGTCAGGGGTGCTTTGAACGCAATTTTCCTTCTTCTTGGCAGGGGGTTGGACTGGATGGCCCATGAGGTCTCTTCCAACTCTATGATTCTATATGTGCCCTGACAACACTTGAGCTCTCATCGGATGGACACCACAGCTTTGTCACCTTTGTGGCTGCCAATTCTCTGCTTCAGAGTGTGGTGGAAGCTCCTTCCTTAGAGACTTTTAAGCAGTGGCTGGATTGGATGCCCATCTGTCAGGGGTACTTTGATTGTGCTTTTCCTGCATGGCAGGGGATTGGACTAGATGGCCCATGTGGCCTCTTCCAACTCTATGATTCTATTTGAGAAGCCTGTGGGAGTATTCGCTGTCATTCACACAGGGAGCATCCATACTGTGGAATTAATGCAGTTTGAGGCCATTTGAACTAGCCTATGGTGTGGAATCCTGGGAGCTGTTGTTATGTAAGGTCTTTCGCCTTCTCAGCCAAAGAGGCGTTTCACCAAACTGCAAACCCCAGGATTCCTTGACATTTGAGTTAAAATGATGTCAAGCTGCATTAATTCTATAACAATATTAGCAATAATTATTTATTGCCTGCCTCTCCTAATGGCTTGAGGCAGGGAATAGCATTTTGAATAAATAATGAAAAATTCAAGATGTAGATGCACCTGAAGTCGGCTTCTTTGGATGCTACAAAACCCCATTTGAAGTAAGCTTAGGAAGAAGGAAAATGCTGCCTAGGAGCATGCCATAATCTCCTTCTCTGGAGATGTATAAGCAGAGGGTGGGTGGCCATCAGTCAGGAGGGCTTTGGTTGTGCTTTTCCTGCATGACAGGGGGTTGGACTGGATGGGCTTTGGGGTCTCTTCCAAGTTGCAACCCTATGTTTCTATGAGTCCAAGTGTCACATAGCTCTGGGATGGTCTTCTGGAGCCTTAGGATGTGCTTTTACCTGGGAGTAACTCCCACTGAATGACATGATAAAGAAATTGCTATTGTTTATTTATTTACTACATTTATATGCCACCCTTCTCACCCCGAAGGGGACTCAGAGCGGTTTACGATATATACATATACATATATGTGTGTGTGTGTGTGTGTGTGTACATATATTATATTATTAGCATAGTACAATATCAGTATTAAATATTACTATATTGTACTATACCATTATATTGTAATACTAGCCATCCCCTGCCACGCATTGCTGTGGCCCAGTCTGGTGATCTAGAAAATAAAGTGATGAGAAAGTGTTGGTTTCTAATATATGTAATTTCTCTATGCTTGTGGGTAAACAGTTCATGGGGTTCAGAATGCTCTCTGTAGGTGAACTGTAAATCCCAGTAACTACAACTCCCAAATGTCAAGGTTTATTTCCCCTAAACTCTATCTGTGTTCATATTTAGTCATATTGAGTATTCCTGGCAAGTTTGGTCCAGATCCATCATTGTTTGAATCCACAGAATTCTCTGGATATAGGTGAACTACAACTGCCAAAGTCAAGATCAATGCCCACCAAGCCCTTCTAGTATTTTCTGTTGGTCATGGGAGTCCTGTGTGCCACGTTTGGTTCGATTTCATAATTGGTGGAGTTCAGAATGCTCTTTGATTGCAGGTGAACTATAAATCCCAGCAACTACAACTCCCAAATGACAAAATCAATTTTTTTGAGTGATGGTCACTCCTTTGGTTCGTAGGTGTCTTGTGGCCAAATTTGGTGTCAATTCGCCCAGTGGTTTTTGAGTTCTGTTAATCCCACAAACAAACATTACATTTTTATTTATATAGATTATTAGTAAGCTTGTTTTCTGCTATCCTAGAGACTAGTATGGGAGGAAGAGGGGAAGGAATGGATTCAAATTACAGGAAAAGAGGTTCCACTTAAATATGAGGAAGAATATCCTGAGTTGCCTTGGAGCGTGGCGGAGCCTCTTCTCTGGAGGTTTTTAAGCAGAGGCTGGATGGCCATCTCTTGAGAGGGCTTTGATTGTGTGTTCCTACCTGGCAGAAGGTTAGATTGGTTGGACCTTTGTGTTTTAGGGCTGCCTTTAAGCCTCTCAAGAAATATTGGTGCCATATACTAATGTGGGAAAGGGCTCTGCAAGAAAAAGAAAATGAAAGTTAACTGTTGGGGTCAAATAAAGACTGGAATGTCATGTGGAAATAC